GGGTGCTTGAGAATGCTCTCTAACTTGGATAGTTGCACAAAAAAGGGGAAACCCCAATTCAACTTAATGCAAGGGCTTGTTGCAGATCGGGCGTAAAAGCATGGAATTCTGCCTAACTAAGTTTGATCGGGCCTAAAGCCTATACTTTTATGTATGGATACCTCGCTTCGCCTGTTTAGAAGACAACAAGGCCCCTTTCTTTTTGGAATGGTGTGCTTTCATACCATTTATGGGATGTAGTGTTCACTTAAATATTATTTTAGAATTTTTATGTAAATAATTTTTTAAGTGATTGAACTGCTTTTATTTATTATTTAATATAATTTTTATATTTTTAGAAAATTTTATAATTTATAATTTTAGTTTTTGAATTCATTTTTCTTGATTTTTAAAATTTTTTTTAACTTTTAATCATTAGAATCTTATATTTTATTTCTAAAATTTTCATTTTTCAAAATTTAATTTAAACACTTGTTTTCTATGTTTTGAGCATTTTCAGAATACTGAAATTACTCAAAATGTCAAAAATGCATTTTGAGTTTTATATTATAAGTTTATCATTGTTTTCAAAAATGTATTGTCAGAAATACTGACCAAAGGCATTTTCGGTGTTTTGCAGAACTAAGAACTGAAATGACTTGAAAACAGCAAACTTAACCCTTACTATTCCAAAAATACATTTGTTTTCCTAAAATACATTTTTAATTGAGCCCGACATATGTATAACAATATAGAGAAGTAGGTGTCTATCTACTTGTGACTCGATCAAGTTGAGAGAGTTGAATCGATCCAAGTCGAGTTGGATTCACCTGTTGTGAAGCAAACTTTGGATATGCTTGATGAGTTTTACTCGATGACTGGTCAAAATGAAGTGATTTAGTATCTCGATTCGGTAATTGAAAACTTTGAAGAGGAACTATACTCAAAAAATATCAACTCATCCTTACTAGAGGTTTAGCTGACATCGTCGACGAGCTCAGTCACTTATTTGAAGCCTCGGACAACGAGCTTGGGTTGCCACCTATGGTTCCCAAATTCTAGGATGAACAAGCAAATGAAAATTCAGTTGATTTATCAATTGCCATTCATCCTGACTCGAAACAGTTGGGGATATGACAGGTTTTGAAGATGAGGTAACTACTTACGACTCATTCGAGTTAAAACTAGATGACGTGTTGTTTGATTATTTGGAGCTGACTAGTTTTTTTTCGACGGTCCGAGTCATAACCTACTTTATAGAATTTATGGTTTTTAGGCCCGTTTCTAGCTGTTATTCTGTAACAAAGAAATATGCATTAATCTCTTCTACCAGGCTGATCCTCTAACAGATGTTTTACAGGTGAGTGAAGAGGTGGGTCCCCAGTTCAGTAAAATAATGCCCAAAAATATGCCCACCGGCCCCACCCCCATGTTTTGAGTCACAGCCTGTAAAAGGCCTGGCAGAAAGAATTCTGGCACAGCAGCTCGGTCCAAGAAATTTACCCAAAAACTTGGAATTTTTACATTTTTTTGTGTTCTTTTATTTCAAGTTCATTTTATTCGTGGTAATTATACTTTAATTTAGTGATTTAGGTAACAGTACTTCAATTTTATTTTATGTGCCTTTAAGTAAAATGTTTGTTTAACTTAACAGATTAGTTATAAGTAAAATAAATTATCCAAGTAATTCGCTAATTTTAACGGTACTAGTCAAAGTTGAATGTGCATTGCACGTTATTCTAAAAAAACTTTAATACCAATTTGTTGGAGGATTTAATGGATCTCAGAAGAATTAAAGAAAATAAAATTTATTATAGAAATTTAAGAGAAGAAAATTGTACTCAAATTGTACTTTCAAAACTCAATTTTTATGATTCAAATTTTTTTGTAATGATGAAATATTATAAATGAGCAATCATTTTATATTACATTTGATTCATAAAAATTAATTGTTAATACAGAAATTTAAACACTCATCAAAATTTTTAGATGCATAAATATGAATAAATTTATCTATAATAACTCTAGATTCACGTAATTCAATATTCATCAAGTGAAAATTTATTGAATTTAGGTTAATGTGATTGTTAATTAATTGAGAAATAATAACAGAAATTTCTTAAATGACAATAATTATGTAGCATTTGAAATAATTGAATTATTGGAAGGTTAAAATAGTCCAAAAAATGTTTTTTTTCTTGATGTGAATACGAATAAATTTCTTTATAATAACTCTAGATTCAAAATTCATCAAATGAAAATTTATTAAATCTAGATTAATGTGAATGTTAATAATTGAGAATTAATAACACAAATTTCATAAATAATAATAATTATGTAGTATTTATTATATATCGAAAAATGAAAAGTAATGTATTATTGAAATAATTGAATTGCTGAAGGTTAAAATCGTCCAAAAATAATTCTCCCTTGATGTGATATTTTAATATATTATAAAAGATTGGTAAGAAATTTAATTTAAAAGTTGAAATTATCCTTTATGATTTAGTTGCTTTTGGTTTTGAAATTAAAGGAAAATTTGTGATTTTATATTGAAAATTGGGAGACAGCTTTCCCTCGTTACCAAACCAAGTAAGAATGTGAATGTTCGATGTGTAGTACTAATTACAACACACCTAGTTTATCTCATAACATCATTAAACTAGTTAGAGTTAAATGTGCATTGCACGTAATTTTGAAATACTTTATAAGTGCTATAAAAATAATATTTGATATGATGAGCTTTGATTTCGACCTACTGCGATATAAATGGAATATTGAAGAAAATAAAATTTATGATAGGAATTTAAAAGATTCAAGTAGATCAAAATTCATCAAGTCACGATTCATTGAGTTTAAATTAGTATGAATGTTAATTAATTGAGAATTAATAATACGAAATCATGCATGACCAAGAATTTTGTAATATTTATTACATATTGAAAAATAAAAAGTAAAGTATTATTGAAATAATTGAATTATAGTAGGGTTATAATCGTTCAAAATATGGAAGAAAATAAAATTTAAGATAGAAATTATAAGAGAAGAAAGTTGTACTTTCAAAACTTAACTTCCATGATTCAATTTTTTTGTGATGATGAAATAATACAAATGAGCAATCTTTTTAATTAAAGTTCTAAAAAATTCGCCTAAGCGGCGCCTAGGCTCAAAACGCCTCACTTCACTCCTGGACTTTTTTTTCCAATTCCTAAATGGCTGATTTTTTTTTTTATTTCTTTTGTCCCTGTAGATGCGCTTTATTAGTTTTTTTTTAAAAAAAATAAATAAATTATAATTTGACTTTAGCTTATTATTATTTAAAAAAAGAACTTTTCATTTGAATTTAATTTCAAGTTTTTAATAGATTTATCTATACAAAAGTAAAAAATGACTTTATCTAAATAGTTAAATAAGATTTAAGTTTTTGTGTTATCTACATTATGTAATTATGATCTTGAAACTCATTTTATTACAAACTCCAAAAATATATATAATGTTCTTATAAATCTATTAAGTATGACTTCTCTAGTTGAAAATTGAAACTATAAAATTTTTTCTAATTTTTGCATTTCAAAAACTTGAAAATTGTATAATTAACTAATGACAGGGATTAATAAAGTAAATATTGTATTTTATAATTTTAGATGTTTGATATGTATTATTTTAATTATTAAATAATTTCTTAAATTGATTAAAAATTTCAAATAATATTATAAATAAGAAAATGTTTTTTTACGCCAAAGCCTAACCTAGACTCGCTTAAACTCATAAAACTTGAAACTTTGGCTTCATACCTTTTCACGCTTTATGCTTTTTAAAACACTTATTTTTATAGTACTTTGGGTACATAAGAATTAATTGTTAATACATGAATTTAAACATTCATTAAAATTTCTAGATACATGAATAGAAAAAAATTTATCCTTAATAATGCTAGGTTCAAGTAGATCAAAATTCATCAAGTCAAGATTCATTGAGTCTATATTAATGTGAATGTTAATTAATTGAAAATTAATAACATGAAATTTATACATGACCAAGGGTTTTGAGGTATTTATTATATATTGAAAAAATGTAAAGTATTATTAAAATAATGAAATTGTATTTAATATATTAGAGATATGATAGGCCTTGATTTTGATTTGTTGTGGCATAAATGGATTGTAGAAGAAAATAAAATTTATGATAGAAATTTAAGAGAAGAAACTTGTACTCTCAATTTCTATGATTCAATTTTTTTTTTTTTTTTTTTTTTGTGATGATGAAATATTACAAATGAGCAATATTTTTATACAATATTTGGTACATAAGAATTAATTTCTAATACATGAATTTAAACACCCATTAAAAATTCATAGATACACAAATAGAAATAAATTCATCCATAATAGTTCTAGATTCATGTAGATCAAGATTTATCAAATTAATTGAGAATTAATAACGCGAAAATCATACATGATCAAGGATTTTGTAATATTTATTACGTATTAAAAAATGAAAAGTAAAGTATTATCGAAATAATTAAATTATATTAGAGTTAAAATTGTCCAAAAAATGATTCTCGCTTAATGTGATATTTAATATACGATAGATTACAAACAATGTCCACTCTTTATTTACAAACATGCATAACTGGTGTTACAATATCGTTGCTACATGTACACCGAGCCTTACACTCCCCTCACATAGGGATGGGGCCCACGCAAGCTCGGTGTACAAGGGCTTTATTCAGTGTTACAAAGGTTCTTGATTACTTATTCTCATCTCCAAGATTTCATAATTACATTGAATATCTATGCTTCTTAATAATTTTAGATTTGCAACTATCGATGTTATAAAAAGATCGGGGCATCAATAGACGCATAAAAGTGCGAATACTTGAAGGAATGAGTACTGTCAAATGTCATACCTCATCATTGTTCTTATTGCAAGACACTCATTATCATTGACTAAGACCCCCTGTCTCGATCTTGCACGGAAAGTTCGAAGCATAGTTATGCGTTTACGTCTGTGCAAACATGTGAAGGAATGAGCTCAAACAAAAGTGTCATTTACAATTCAAGTCGTGAGACACTCATCATAGTTAAATTTAAAGGTGTCACATATAATTTTCTTTCTTAATTTCAAACATTCGATCCGATCGGTCAGTGGATCACTATAAATCACAATGTAACTCGGTTAACCGAGAAAAGTGTTCATATCTTTTTTTCCTCTTTCTCGTCGAACCACAACTTTTTAACAAGGCAATGATCAGATCATGTAATAAATTATTAAAAGAAAAAAAAAAAAAAAGGTAAATTACACTGCATGCATAGAGCTAGAGCCTAGAGCCACACAAATATTGATCCACATTACACAACAAATAGAACCTTCTTGTTTTTGGGTTTAACATAGTGTGCTTTTAAACATACATAAAATTGCTATTAGCGACACCATCACAAATTGACCTTGTTCATTCATGTTCACTCCAGCGTTATGGTGAAGTCCGAATCCCATGATACTTGTCCTCGGTGCCACTGTCACTATCGGAGAAGCTGAGAAAAAACCCGATATAGATTAACCCGACTACATCTTTTAGTAAACCACGAGAGTTTGGTACATAGTACTAATGAGGAAGCGATAGTGCACAATTGTTCATTGTTGAACTGTTCAACTTATTTAATGATTTGTACGTATTTCGAGCATGTAATGATGAGAAGAGAAGATGCAAACCTGCCACAGTTGAATTTGATTTTGGCCCTGAGGGAACTTGAGAAGCAGGTGAATTTGAAGGCAAGGGTGTGCCTTCAAAGATAAAAGGGTCATTGGTTAGTTAAACATTATCTACAATGCTAAATTTAGATCACCTTATAAACTTCTCGAAAACTGATTTTTCCTATCCAATGAAAGCTTTTAACTTCTTCTACTTCAAGAGTCCTGTTTAGTACTGTCCAGTCGAGTGAAACAAACTTAAAAAAAAGGATTCTAGTGTACGTTAGTTCAACATTATTGACAGTGATAAATACGGATTATCACCTAAACTTCATGAAACTTCTTTTAGTCGAGTTCCATACTGTCTAGTCGAGCGTAACAAAACATGTAATGATAAAGGGACTCCAGTGTATGTACCTGTACAATTAGAAATGATCATCTGGAGGTTGCATAGAAGGGGCAATTGAAGAGCAAGTGTGGTATTAATATTAATAGGAAAAGAACTCAAAGTTGTTTCATTGAACAAGAGACAAAGACAATTAGGTTGCTGGATGTAGAGTTGTTTAAGGTTGTCACAACATGACTGGACTGGCGAAGGCGCAATGCCCTGTACAAACGGCGCACACGGGGCTAAATTTAGCAGATTCGAGCTACATTGTTCAATACCAGTGCTTTGAGAAAATGTGTTCAATGAAGGGCCGATTAGAAGCAAAAGAATCAGTGCAATGTTAGAAAAAGAAGGCATTGTTTTGTATCCTTAGTTTTTCTGTCTATGGAGGAGAAGTATTTGCATAATGAAAGTTAGGTTAAGAATGTGAATGTGGTTTTAAAGTGATTTGCATTACTTTGAGCATGAGCTGCAACATGCATTAAACATGAAGGCCCCTTGTTTGACTGATCAATCTCTAGTAGAACAAAATGATATGTTTGGTGAAAGAAGTTCAAAAAATCGTCTAGTGTATTCTCAAGTAGAGTGTGCATTCCACCTATGGGTTGCGATGAGACATTCACGAATGAATATGGCACAAGGCCAATGATTACTACTTTTCAGAAATAGATAAAGTAAGAGTCATAATTAATGCGTGAAACCTACTATTTATTTCTTTTGAGTTACAAAAAGTAGTGGTCCCTAGTACTTATAAGCATTTTACAAGCACACCCAAACATTAGCTAAGAAATTAGCGGTGTTTGGAGAAAGAAATTAAAAAAATCGTCTAGTGTACTACTAAGTAAAGTGTGCATCTCACCTATGGGTTGGGATGGACATTCACAAATGAATATAGCACAAGGATTGGGTTACTTTTTCAGAAATAGATAAAGTAAGAGTCACAATTATTACGTGAAACTTACAATTTATTTATTTTGAGCTACAAGAAGTAGTGGTCGCTAGTACTTATAAGCACTTTACAAGCACGCCCAAACATTAGCTAAGAATTTCGCGGTGTTGGAGAAAGAAATAAAAAAAATCGTCTAGTGTATCGTCAAGTATAGCGTGCATCTCACCTATAAGCTGGGATGAGACATTCACAGATGAATATAGCACAAGGCTTGGGTTACTTTTTTCAGGAATAGATAAGGTAAGAGTCACAATTATTGCATGAGACTTACAATTTGTTTATTTTGAGCCACAAAAAGTAGTGGTCCCTACTACTTATAAGCACACCCAAACATTAGCTAAGAATTTGGCGGTTCATGAATTCCCTTAGTAGGATTAAGCAGCATTTGCACCAACGTATGACAAATGGTGCAAGTATAAACTAGCATCATCCTAACTATCTATGGAAGAACAAGGCATAGAAAATGCCATATCTACTAGTCCTGTTCATAGAGTGGAGGTTCAGAATATGAGAGAACACAAGTGACAGCTCGAGGTAGAAAAGATGTGCCTATGACTTTCAAGAAACCTTTGCTATCCCATGTTTTTGACATGCACTATTAATGGTTTCAATGGTAATAGGGTGGAGAGATCCATTGTTTTTTCAATCATGCTACATGATTAGAGTCAATGATAGAAAAGTATTTTCAGACTACACTTGACAGTTTTTCATTGGAGAATGAGAAATAAAATCATAGAAACACTCAATCGTGGGTTGCTACATCAATCTGTTTTTATTCCCTGTTTGTTCAACATTATTCTTGTTATTTATAGGACGAGAATGGGATAGTGTCTAAGATCTTTTTGTCCTGTTCGGAATTTTCGAGATGTGGGTCTTGACGGGCAGTATTAAAGGTTACCATTTACGACGCCTGTTAAATTAAATGTTTATTTTTTATATTAGTTTTATTTTTAAAACATTATTTTAAATAAATTAAAATATAATAAAAATAAATATTAGTCAATCTAATTAGTGAAGTGACTTGTGAAGTACACAAACACGTAAAATATAAACAAGATATATTACATAAATATATAATTTATTTTGAGTGAATCAACTTTTGAGACCTACAATTCTATTAAATATAAATTCAAAATTCCTATTTACATGCTATGCATATAATTATGAAAATTTCAGAACGCCTTAATATTAGGGGATGAGATTTTGAATTAAATAAAGATTTGTTACGATAGGGACCAAGTTAAGATTGATACATTTGAATTCGTTATTTTATTTGCCTTTAGGTAAAAACATTACTTAATTTGAAAATAAATATTAAAATAATTAATTTACTTATTCAATTTATCTCCTAAAAGATATTTATTTCAAAACTAATTTACTTAAAATTAATTTTTTAAGTTCACCTAAATACTAGGTAGAGTCTCTTTGCGGTTATTATACTTTTTCTCTTGTATCAATCAAGTAATTACTTCAATTTTGTTAAATAAGTAACAATACTTTAATTTGATTTCAATCAGTTTACACCGTCCAATATTTCAATTTCGTCACTCGAACGGATAGAATTCAATGACATGATAGTAAATAAAATATAAGCATATTTATTTCATTGAAGTTGCACTTGTTTCATATGTATGGGTGTGCTTAATTTTTTTTTAAAGCTAATTAAATATATATTTTATCTGCACATTTAGCCCCTGTTTGTTTCACATTATTTCCCCCATTAAAATGAAAAATATGACCGTTATTTATCACATCAAGCCACAAAATTTGAATTTCTATATTTTGTATGGATCCCATAACGACTATATTTTTCATTCTCTTTTTTATCAAAATGGAAAACAAATGAGACCTTTAGTAGATACAGAAGTTAATATCACCGTTTTCTTCACACATTACAAAGAATCAAAATTCATAAGTGCTTAAAAATGATTCTAAACAAACACTTCATGTTGGTTATTAACGGCCACGTGTAATGACCGTTACGTGTTGACGGTTACGATTTTGGTAAGTAGAATTGGATGGAGTTATTAAGCATTTGTTTGGCATTCATTTTTCCCCCCTTAAGTTTTAGTTGTCAAAGTCGAACGTTAATTTTAACCGCATGTCTTGTAAGATCCGCAAATAATACCCATTGACTTATCACTCATTTATTAAAAGGTAAAATTTAGTCTCTATTTGGTGAAGATTAAAATCAGATTTTTATTAAATTTTTATAAAAATTGATGAAATGTATAATTAAAAGTAATGATCTTATAAAATATATAGTTAAAAATAATTAATAATTTTGACTTATATTGAAATTTAGTGCTTGTTTGGTACAAATTTTAAGCCAATTAAAATCAATTTTTTGACCGTTATTTTACTGTTTCAACTGTCATTTTTGAATTCTTCTCTCACAGGTAGAATCCACTTTATCTTTAACAGTCGAAAAATTAATTATCAAAATTCCTACCAAACAAGCACTTAGATTTTAATCTCTAGGACTTAATGAAAAGAAATGAAAGCTAAACAAAGGCTAAAGTGAAATCGAGTTAACGTGTTAATTGTTACTCAAATGAACAAAGTTGATAGAAACAGCTTGCTGACAGTTTTTCGCACATAAACACACCAGAAAACGCACAAAGTTGTGAAAATTCTTGCTGCTCTTCTCTATCACATTGCACAAATGACTCATTCGAACATCAAAATCCAGTAAAAAAAATCTCATCAATTTGAATAAATTCTCCATAGATTTGTATTTTGGGGACGATCAAACGGCCCGGTACTTCGAATACTTCGCTGTGTGCAGACTCAAACTAGAAATTCGGAGCCTCGATGGTGACAAAGGCTACCATGGCACTGGCATCTTGTACTTGCCATCTCTTCCTGATTAGTTCCCTCATTTGGATCAGTCTCTGTACCGTCCCCCACCCCTCAACTTCCCCACCTGTGTTTTACCATCTGGGGTTGAATTCTATTCATCCAGGTTCAATTCGAATGACCCTTCAGTTGTAATTTTATGAACTTTAAATCTTAATAACATGAAAACCTAATTACTTTATTACCAAGATCTTTCATGTTAAATCACCAAAAAAATTATTAAGTGCAAAACATACCTTAATTCATTGGAAATGCTTCTTTGATATTGGATCTTTGTTTCGGATCTTGATTCCTGAATATTGACTCTCTCGATTCTTAAGTTCTTGATCTTGGTTTTACTTTTTGATCCCTAGTCCTGATTCTTGAGTTATCTGTTCTTGATTCTTGATTGTAGATTGTCTGTTCTTGATTGTAGGTTTTTGGATCTCTCTCTTCAATATATTTTCTCTTGTATTCTTGTGTTGATAGGAAGACATAAAGAACTAGAAATTGAATATAAATTGGGGACCATAACCCTATATATCCATGAGTATTTCGCCCATCATGAAGTACAATTCTAAAGGAATCTGGTCTCTACACATATAATCTGACCCGCACTTTATTTAGATGTCCTAAGTCCAACAATTTGATTCTTTATTAGATTACATTAATTTTGGACTTAAGTTTTAATATAGCCTTATACAAAATTAATACATATATCGGCCAACATGACACCTCTTCCATCGATACTCCATTAGAGCTTAATGTCAATTATCGAAATGACGAAGGTGATATAATTTCCGATCTTACTCTTTATCAGAAGTTGTTGGGTCGTCTCATCTATCTCACTATTACATGTTCAGATACTTCATTCGCAATCCATGCCGTCAACAAATTTATGGATGTCCCCAGTCATCTTCATTTGGTAGCTGTCCGCCGCATTATTTGCTACCTTATTGGGATATCTTATCGTGGCTTGTTATTTTCTAGAGGGACGTCTCTTGATCTTACTGCTTATAGTGATGTAGGCTGGGTTGGTTGTCCTGATTCTCATCGTTCTACTATTAGGTGGTGTATCTTTCTGGATGTTCTCATTTCTTTGAAATGTAAGAAACAAAATTGAGTTTTAAAGTCCTCCATTAAGGCTTTATATTGCGCTATGTCAGCTGCATGTTCTGAGGTTGTGTAGTTGCGTGGTATTCTAGCTAAAAATCATTTTTCCAATACACAGCCTACACCTCTCCATGGTGAGAACACTAGTTGCAAGTTCTTGTAATTAGAGATTAAAAGAGGCAACGGACAGCAAAGTCATGACTGGCGATAGTGAGCTAGAGAAACTTGTTTCAGGCAAGGAAGAGTTGAACGAGTTGGGATGCTGGGATAGCAACAATCAAGTATACTTTTTACCTTGAGGGCAAGGTGACTAAAATGGGAGGGGTAATTGATAGAATCCCAAACAAGTATAACTATTCTAGAGAGATCAAGAAGAAGGGTGAAAAAGACGGCAGCAACAAACTCTGTTAGTAAGTAAGCTGAGGTGGACAAAAACCATTACAATAGGCTTATAAATAGAATAAGGAATAGATTGTACTATAAATATAGGTCTCCTCTTTCAGCTTAAAATAAGCCAATGTTGCTGTGGCCTTATATTTTCTTCATATTGTCAATTAATAATACATCTTGCCTCTACGTTAATTCCTCTTTTTTTTTCTTTACTTTATATCTTGATATATATTTTTATATTGTTGCAATCCATATTAACTTCATATCGCGTCATTAACTTCGTTCTTTACAACCCGTCGATCACAACAAGTGGT